CCAATTTCAGGGGTCGTAAGTTGATGGATTAAATATTGGTTAGGAGCACAGCTCTGGAATCTGCCCCTGGGCTTGAATCCTTGATCATAAGCCATATGATCTTGAGCAAGTACCTCAATCTTTCTGTGCCTCAGTTTCCTCATGTGAAAGGAGGATAATAATGACATCTGCTTCATAGGGTTATAAATATTGAACAAGATAATAAACTTAAAGCTATTAATATTAACATGGTGGTTGGCACAGAGTAAGTGCCCAATGCACATTAATTAGTATTAGTATTTAACTAACAGTGGCTTTTACACACTCATTTGTTAGCTACTATATCTTTTTACATATAGAAAATATATATAGCCAATATTTTCATACAATTAAGGTTCTTAAAGCTTCTGCCTATATAATCTGATGGAAGCCTCATGGTGACCCCAGGAGGTAGGCAGTATGTGATTTTCCTTCTTCACTCACTGCCATCTGCCTTCTGTGGGCAGAAACTGAGACTCTGAAAGGCTAAATGATGGCCGGGGACAGAAGCCATCAGCTGACCAGTCAGCGCTGGGCCTGTGGCTTCTGTTTTCCCTTAGCAGCTCCAAATCCTTTGATGGTCATTGTGTGTCCTCTGTAAACCCTTCAGACAGGAAGAGTCAGAGACAATGATTCTCTTGACTTAGAATTTCTTAGTCAACCCATTAGATTTGATAACTTTTATATTACTATATAAATAAGTATTCCTATGTGGTGAAATGGAGATTCTGGAAGGCCAGTAACCTAAGAGAGAAGACAGGGCTTTCTTCCTCCCATTATTGGCTGAGAGACATTCCATCAGACTGTATTGAAGAAAATGGGAATGAGGTCTCTTTTTTTGACGTTTTTGGCCAGGACTGGGTTTGAACCCACCACTTCCAGCATACGGGGCTGGTGCCCTACTCCTTTGAGCCAAAGGCACCACCCAAATGAGGTCTCTTTTTTCACCTTTTCTCCAGCAAAGTAACAGTGTCCTGCTCCCCTGAATATATGGGGAGGAATCAGAATCTGTCCATCTCACTCTCGAGATAAGTTTCAAAGTACAGACCTTCCCTTCATTATCATAATTGTGGCTAGAATGTGGTTTTTTAAAAAATCAGGGACAGAGATCAAGTTGGATACCTCTTTATCTGGGGAAAGTGTGAGACACCTAGTGCTGTCTTATAGAACTAGAAGGAGTTACAACTTTTCTATTTTATTTTATTTTATTTTACTTATTTGAGTCATAGTCTCAAGCTGTTGCCCTGGGTAGAGTGCAGTGGCATCATAACTCATAGCAACCTCCGACTCTTGGGCTCAAGCAATCTTCTTGCCTCAGTCTTTGTATTTTTAGTAAAGATGGGGTCTCACTCTTGCCCAGGCTGGTCTCAAACTCATGAGCTCAAGCTAGCCACCCTCCTAGGCCTCCTAGAGTGCTAGGATTACAGGTGTGAGCCACCGCACCCAGCAGGAGTTACAACTTTCTAAAGGGAAACTTGGTAACATTCACCAAAATTTCAAATATATACCATCTTAAATCAGCAGTTCTACTGTAGAAATTCTCCCTTAAAAACACTCCCCTGTGTGAAAAATGAGGAAGTCAAGTTATTCTTTACACCATTGTTTGTAATAGGGAAAGACTCAAAAAAATCTGCCCATCAGCAGAGACTCCTAAATAAATTACGGTACTTTCAAACAAGGCAATACTATGCAACCATTAAAAAGAATGGACTTGATTTCTGTACACTAATATAGAATGATTTCTGAGATACATTAAGTACCAAAGCTGGGGGAAGGGGTCATACATATTTACACATAAGCACATGAAATATTTCTGGAGGGAGGTATAAGAAACTAGAAACAGGAGAACTGGGTAGTTAGGACAGAAAAGTAGACACTCTACTGTACATTCTTTAGTGAATTTTTTGAATTTTATTCCATTTGTAGGCATCATATGTTCAAAATAAAGTGGATTTTTTTGTTTTGAGACAGAGTCTCACTATGCCACTCTCGGTAGAGCCCTGTGGCATCACAGCTCACAGCAACCTCCAACTCTTGGGCATATGCAATTCTCTTGCCTCAGCCTCCCAAGTAGCTGGAACTACAGGCACCCTCCACAACGCCTGGGTATTTTTTGGTTGTAGTTGTCATTGTTGTTTGGCAGGCCCAGGCTGGATTTGAACCCGCCAGCTCCAGTGCGTGTGGCCGGCGTCCTAGCCGCTAAGCTACAGGCGCCGAGTTGAAAAATAAAGTTTTGTATACAAGTTGGTGAAGGGATCTGTTTCAAAAAAAGATTTTTAAACCCGACAGTTAAGTTTCCCACGGTTAGAGGCAGTGGGGTGGGGATTAGAAAGGCTGCTCAGGAAGGACAAGTTCAGGGTCTTGGCATCCTGCTCACGCTGAGACCTGACTCTCCACAGCAACAGTCGGAGGTGGCCCACACGTCCCAGACCCAGGAGGAGAAGCTGGCTGCGGCCCTCAGGGTGGAGTTACACAACACATCGTGCCAAGTCCAGAGCCTACAGGCCGAGACCGAATCCTTACGGGCCCTGGTAAGTGGGCTGAGATGAGCCCTGGCTAGGGTGACCAGATTTTAACACCGGTAAGGCGGGACAACATGGGGGAGGGGGTGGGGCAGGGGATAGGGAAGGGCAGGACAGGGGACAGGCCAGGGGACGGGGCAGGGCAGGGCCTGACAATAATGCAAACTTTGATAAGCCGTTCTCAATAATCACTTCTCAGCAATTATTTGTTATTATTACAGTTTAACATTATAAAATTAACAAAAATAATATAAAACTCATATTCTGGCGAAACAGCCACATGGCAGCCGAAAACCGTATATTCCCTTCTTGTTCTCCCGCCCATTCGTGCATTCTTTCCAAAAATCCGGACTTTTTTAGCGGGACGCAGGACAAATTGTTCAAAAGCAGGACATCTGGTCACCCTAGCCCTGGCGTCCCTTGTGTTCATTTTAACTCAACTGTCAGACTCTAGGCCTACAGGTCATAGTTTGAAAGGGATTCCAATCTGACAGCTTATGGGCTTTGCGGTTGGATACATTTTCTGACTCCCAAGGAGTATCGGAGACTGCCCCACCAAAACACCTCTCCCCAGGCTACTGCTGGGAGTGCTGGCTGCTAATGCCCGCAGCTGCCCCATTCCAGCTGTCTGGCTGCTCCAAAGATTTGCCAAATCTGGGCGGAACAGAAGACCCGTGCCTGGGAGGCTAGGCCCCGCCCCCAGCCCGCAGCCAATGACCGACCGCCAGGGGCTTTAAAAGCCCAGCCCACCTGCATCGCAGTGAAGCTGGGTTTGGGTGTAACTCTCGTTCCCTGGGGTCAGGCCGCTGCGAGATACCAGCAGACCACGTCCTCCCTTCGCACCTTTCCCTGCTTTGCCCTGCTTTCCTCATTCTCCCTTTCCTGAGAGAATCTGTAATTATTTACAAGTTCCAGCATCCCTGTCTAGGCTGTTTCTGGAGATCCCAGCCTAGGACAACTAGGAAGCTCCCTAGACTCACTGTGTTTTGCTGACAGGTCTCTTGAATTATTAATTATTAATGAAAATAATTATTTAAATAATAAAAGTAATAATGCAGCAACCCACCCTCTGATCTCTGGGGTGGACTTAAGTTCTATCAGGGTATTAAACACATTTCCTCCTAGATGCCTCCTTCAGGGAGTCAGTGGTACTGTTCTAAGCACAGCTTCATTCCTACAAGTCCAAGCGTACAAGGAGGTTGGGCTGTGTGATCCGTGTGCAGTTGAGACGTTCTGAGGTCCAATGAGGCTGAAGATAGGATCTGGGTCAGTGTAAGGGGATGTGAGAAAAGGATCTGAGGGAGAAAAATCCAGAGAAGTAGAGTTAGAAGGGCTGGGCAGCTCACTCTGTCCCTTGTGTAAACAGGCAAATTACCAAACCACAGCTTCCTCTTCTGCAACACGTGTATACCAGTCCCAGTCCACCCCATCCTCAATGTTTCTCAGGAGCCCACGAGAGGATGCAGTGATCATGCTTTTCTTACTATTAGCATCACTTGGAAGAACTCAGTATGTTCTGGGAATTTTATCAAGGGCTCTGGAGACATAAAACTAAATAGACAAGGTTCCTGCTCCCAAGGAATGAATGTGACTTCAGTGGAGGCGCTGATAACCACAGGAACCAGAGGCTCTGAATGTGAGGGAGTGGCAGGTGGGAGATAATACCTACTCTTACTGTGGGTATCAGGATATAGACTCTGTAAGGGCTGGGGGGAGCAGGTAGAGGTGGGCAGAGTCAAGGGTGGGGTTCTAGAAGTACTCCCCCCACCACAAAGTCAAGAGCTGATGCTACTAACACAGCAGTCCTGTGGAACAGGGGACTGGCACAAAGACCCTGCAATCTTGAACCCTGGCTCCATGCTTACTAGCTGGGTGCCCCCTCTAAGCTTTCATTTTCTTATAAAATGAGGGGTATTTTGGCTATCATTTCTATTGGATGTCTTAGTGACTTAAGACAACAGTGAATCATTTGTGTTCTCATTCTGCAATTTCGGCAACATTCAGCAGGGATAATTCCTCTCTGTTCCACATGCATCTGCTGGGACAGGAACACACCTGAGAACAGAGTTCACACACACATCTGGCACCTCAGCTGTGTGTCTCTTTTTCTCTCTCCACGTGACCTCTCCATGTGGCTAGCTTGAACTTCCCTATATCATGACAATCTCACAGTTGTCAGATTTGTCATGTAGCTTCCGAGTGAGCCCAGAAGCTACCAGGCCTCTGACCTTGAAAGTCCCTGAACATCACTTACACCTCATCAAAGCAGTCACAAGATCAGCCCAGACTCACCCGGAAGAGAAAATTCCACCTCTTTTTTTTTTTTTTTTTTTTTTTTTAGAGACAGAGTCTTACTTTGTCACCCTCGGTAGACTGCTGTGGCATCACAGCTCACAGCAATCTCCAGCTTTGGGGCTTAAGCAATTCTCTTGCCTCAGCCTCCCGAGTTAGCTGGGACTACAGGTGCCCACCACAATGCCCAGCTATTTTTTTGTTGCACTTAGGCTGGGGCTGGGTTTTTACCCACCACTCTCGGTATATGGGGCCGGCGCTCTACTCTCTGAGCCACAGGTGCTGCCCAAAAGCTCCACCTCTTGATGGGACACTAGCAAGATTACATTGAGAAAGAGCTTGTGGAACAGAGGTCACTGTTGCAGTTTGGCCGGGGGCTGGGTTTGAACCCACCACCCTTGGTATATGGGGCCAGCACCCTACTCACTGAGCCACAGGTGCCACCCAAGAACAAAGGTCACTGTTGCAGCTGTCTTTGGAAACATGATCTCCTATAGGATTATAATACAATTTAACTTACAAAGTCATCAGAGTGATTAATTAGATAATGTACACAAGCCCTTAGCACAGAGCCTGGCACAGAGTGAACAGTCAATAATGACATCTATTATTAATTATCATATAAAATTACTATTATACCCACTAGTAGTAACCCTAAGTTGGCATCTTCAGCCACCTGGTCACTTCATTTAAAACCCATGATCCTAAGTGTTAGAACAAATGGAAAAAGAATTCAGACCCCTAACCAAAAGACTTTGGAGCATTCTGGCTGTGATCATGACCCAAGCTTTTGTCCCCTGCCAGTTCTAGTAGATCACAATTCTGGTCACTGGGCCTTGCAGCCAAAGTGAGGAGCAGAGACTGAGCCTGAATAGGTACATGGTAACAATCTCTAATACAGTTTTCAAATACAGAAAGTTCATCCAGCCATCCCTGTTATTCTCAGAGCAACCTGTGCACACACAAGGCCCCTGTAGCTTATATAAGCTTCAGACAGCTGAGCTGGTGAGACTTGCAGTCCCCTTTGCCAACAAGGCACTGTTTGTATTGGAAGCCAGGCACAAATAATGGTGCCTGAGGCCTCCTGAACTCTGTGTTCAGTCAACTCAAATCAGGAATGGAATTCAAGACAAGAAGTCACAGAAGGTCACTATTTTACTTTCTGGGGGATTTAGCAATTCAGAGAAGTCCCTTCAATTTTCCAGAGACCTCCAGACTAAGCATGCTTCTGTGATCTCAGTTTGCTTGCTGCTGCTATCTGTGTGCTGAGTGGGCCTGGGTTATGACACCACAGCTGTAGCCTGAGCGCAGTCGCTCAAGCGCCAGAATCTCTTGGAGAACCAGGCAGCCTCTCTTTCTGCCAGAACATCAGGTACTTAGGTGGGATAGCTGGATTGGACTGTGAGTGAGATGGAAAACATGCAGGATCTTTGCTAGGGGTTCCCATGAATACCCTTGGGCAAAGGGTTCAAAGTCAGCAAGGAGAAACCTCAGGCCACAAAACCAGCCCCGGCCAAAATGCAAAAAATAATAGCCAGGCGTTGTGGCGGGTGCTTGTACTCCCAGCTACTTGGGAGGCTGAGGCAAGAGAATTGCCTAAATCCAAGAGCTGGAGGTTGCTATGAGCTGTGATGCTACAGCACTCTACCGAGGGCGACAAAGTGAAACTCTGTCTCTAAATAAAAAAAAATAAATAAATAAAGTGCCCTTTAATCGGGCTGAGGAGAGATTTAGGCCTTCTACCCTGAGGGAATCAGCAGGGGCCTCCAGTCTCCATCTCGTATAGCTCTATCAGCATTGTGATTAACATCTCATACCCCAGAGGATCACCTGCGCCCAGACAATATTCAGCAAGATATTTATACTGCTTTGTTTTTGGTTTTTTCTTCTTTAATTTCAACATTTTCCCTCTAGCTTTTTCTTTTTTCTTTCTTTTCTTTCTTCATTTTTCTAGTGTAAATATAATTTTTCATAGTTGCCTTCTTTAAAAATTAGAACTTCATTTTTACTTGTGTTTCTACTCCTATTATTTGGTTTTTTTCCCCCAATTTTATCCTGTAAAGTTTTCTGTTTGCTTGTTTTGGTTTGATTTATAGCATTTTTGTCTTTCCTCTCTACTTGGTGGAGGTGGGGTACTGTGTCTGTACAGGCTGGCAAAGAGCTGATGACCTCAAGGGAACCACCCAACCTGGCACCCCCAGAAGTTGGGGGTTTTTAAGGTTGGGTCAAAGTACCCTACTGTACACCTCTATTGCTCCTGTCTCCCTCTTTCTGTGCCTCTCTTCTCTTTGTCAATATTCCCTTTTACCCACCCGCTCTCCTTTCTCTTTTTTCTTTTTTTCTTTTTCTTTTGTAAAGACCTTTCTTTCTTTCTTTTTTTTTTAAATCTTTTTTCCCTCCTTGTTCTTTAATCTTCTCACCCTTCTGGTCCTGTACCAAAAGGACTCATCGAAACCCTAGGCCACAGGCATGGCAACTTAAAAAGCAAGAGGAAGTGAAAGGAAAATTAGGTCAAGGAAACAGATAAAAGAAAACACTCAGGAGGAAGAATCAGCAGAAAAATCCTGGCAACATGAAAAATCAGTCCAGAGCAACCCCCCCAAGGAACTGTGAGGTAGCTACTGCAGAGGATTCCACCTACAAAGACATGTTAGAAATGACAGAAAGGGAATTTAGAATACAGATGAAGAAAACAATGAAGGAAATGATGGAAACAA